ATCCATTCAATTCATAGTCTACATTTCAGATACTGAGCCCAAGAGACATTCTCTTCACTTTGAAGTTTTTTTGGACATACATAAAAAAAATTACTTCCATTAAGAACATGAATCTCACATCTACTAGTCAGCCATTCCCCAGGTATTGAACATGCATTCTGCAGCAGGTGACAAGAACCTGAAGATAAATATCCCACAAAACATGTCCTTGAAATGCTCACAACCTCGGGCAGACAGATGAACAAAGAACTCTAAGGGAATGTGATGCCTAAATCAGTAAAGAATGAGAAAAGGACCATAGGAAACAAGTGAGGTGACACTCTACTGACAAAAAGGGAATATCAGACAAAATGTCTAAGAAGAGGTAAAGATCATACTAGACATTAAAGAACAGAGGAGGAGATGATCATGTGACTAGACATGAAAAGAAATTCCCGAGAAGAGTAACATAACAGCATGAGTCAAAGCCACAAGGTCTCAACCTTGAGAGATGTTTGGAGGAGGGACAGGGGCCAAGGGACCAGAGGCTAGAAGTTAGGTCAGGTGGGAACAAGAGTCATCCATGCAGGGCCCCGGTGCTCTGCTAGAGAGTCTGCATTAACCGTGGGCAATTTAGTGTGTCTTTAACATTAAAATACTTAGGGCCCATGGAGAATATAGTAAACATTTATGTTCCCACCACCCACCTTAGGAAATAAAACAGTATCACACCTCCATTCCCACCCCACCCTCTGTATTAAGTGTTCATCCTTCCAGCATCTTCTTACATTTTTACTGCAGACAGATGTATCGCTGAACAACATAAAGTGGCAGGAAAGATTTCAAGCAGGAGAGTGAAAAAATCAGTTGTGTTTGTAACAAGACTTCATAGTGTAGGGGGCGGACTGGTCTCCCTGGCAGCAATGGGACAGGTGACAAAGAGGTCTAGAGATAGCTGTCTTCACTGAAGGACTATATGTGATTTAACCTTTAAATCACATATAGTCATCAAAATGATGGAATTTGCCCAGAGCACCACACCTCATACTAGAGAATAAATAATAAATTCCAAACCAGGCTGGGCTCTAGACCCTCAGGTCAACTTCTCAGAAATGCATCCATTCACTGATTCTATAAACGCTTCTTTTTTTTTTAATTCAACTCCAATGCCTCGGCCTGGAGGGGACTGCTGGGGTGAGAAGGCAGCCAACCCAGATGGACAGTTACAGGCAACCAGCAGAAGTGACAGTGTGCAGAGGGCCAGGAGGGATGGGGAGAGAAAGGAGGCAGGTGGCAGCTCCGAGGGGCCCGACAGGCAAATGAGGGGCATGAGGCAGGTTAATCAGGACACAAAGCACAGAGAGACAAATGTCAAGAGCAAAGGGGCAGGAGGACCTGACCAGAGACCAAGACTGGGGACAGCTGCCCAGGGAAGTGGTATCAAGGCGGACTTCACGGGGCGGTTTGACAGGCAATGGTGAATGTCAGGCTTCTTGGGCAGGGAAACAGCCTAACCACAAGTGGAAAACTACCAGGCCTGTTCAGGAAAACAGCTGCAGCTTCAGAGCCCTGGGGAAGAGTGGGACATAAGTCTGAAGAAATCAGAGGACCATTTGGGGATAACTTGTAGAACACCTTAAATATCAAGCTGAAGTGTATGCAGTCTGTGTACATGATTCATAACAAATTCACTTTCATGGCCATGAAATCTGCCTGAATTCCTTTTTACTTGAGAACTAAAGTAATGGAGAGAGCCAATCTTGTCATTTGTGGGATGGTATCAATTATATCACTGCTGCTTACTACACTTCTGTATGTAGAACTGGCCATCTTGGTTAAAGGCAGGTTGGCAAACTGACTGTGACGTAGTATAAGGGGCTCACTCTCTCTCTCACCTTAAAAATTAGTAACTCAGAGGTTAAATAACCAGTAATTCTGCCTTTTCCTCTTTAACATAAGGTACACAATAAAATAATGCATAGAAGGGAAATTAAGTATATTTTAATAGGCCGTCCTCCATAGGGTGGAGATTCTAATTTAAAATGTGAATTCTGGTGGGAGAAGCAAAGACAGAGACATAAACAAATACAGTGAGACAAAACTTACCAACCTCCATAAGTGCGAAGTGCTAGGGGACTATCAAGAAAGGAATGCCTACCTAGTAGCGGGGAGGAATGTCAGCAAAGGTAAAGCTTGAGCTGAGCCTGCAGGGGCTAAGCAGACAGCAAGGGGGAGAGGCCACTCTGGGTCGGAATGTAAGAAAGCAGAGCGGAATTCACCACCACCAAGAGGTAAGAGCGCGGGCACAGAGAGGAAGGCCAGCAGGTGGGAACGGGAAGGTAGTGGGGGGTAAGGCGGCTTTACCGTATAGCTAATAAGAAACAAACGAAGAATTTAAGTAGTACAAAAACAGCTTTAGGTTTTTAAACCTTTTTGAAAGAGTAGATGAGGACTATATGAAAGACAGCCTTTGAAGCTCAAGAAGGAGTGGAGATGGAGGAAAGGGAGCAAACTGCAGATGTTTTAGAGACTCGAACCTCAAAGGATCTAAGGACTGGCTGGGTTTGTCTTTGGGGTGTGAAGGGAGGGGTGGGGGGGAGTGGGGACGCTAAGAGAGAGTGACATGTTGAAGACAGTTCCAAGTGCCTGGCTTCAGCAGCTGACACAATAGACGGTGGTGTCACTAAGACAGAAAATGCAAAGGCAGCAGATTTTGTGGCCAAGAAACTATTGTGTTCAACTTAAAACAGGTAGAGCTTGGCATGTTAAGATAACCCAGTTATCAGATACCCGGCATGGACAGAAGTACCAGATAAACCAAAGAGTCTGGAACCAAACAGAGGGGTCTGGATTGGAGATGATAGCCAAGCAGGTCCACTAAAATGGAAACATCTAATTCATGCTCTCCATGGGCCCGGCCAGGGACGACCATAACAAGCCCGAGGACAAGGGGCGTGGACCCATTTCCTTACCTCCAAGAGTCTCAAAACGCAGTTGGTCAAGGACCAAAACCACTACCCAGGTGTCCCTTAAAAACCCAAATTCTCCAACCTTCCCCGGACCTACTGAATCAGAGGCTGGGGTGGGCATGGGTAATAACAACTGTTGTTTTAAAATTGTTGTTTGAACAAGCCCTCTAGGTGATTCTGATGTTCACTAGAGCTTGAAATCGGCTCAGCTACTGCTCCATTACTTGAAGGGAATGAGGGCTGAAAGAAAGAACTCCTGGGAGGTGGATTTCCAAAGACTTGGGGAAATTAAGTGTTAGTAAAGGATACATTTGCACAAAGATAAGCGTTATAAACTTTTTCAACAATGAGTGGGGTTTTTTTTCCCTGTGGGCTAAGAACTTGTAAGGCAAAATAGATCAAGTCAGTGGCCCACACTGACTTGGTAAAGCTTCCTGATGTAAGAATACAGCTCAGTACTAAAATATCAAACGTCACAAATGTGATCAGAGGATGCCACACCACCAGCAGATCCCTTTCTCATTTCTCACCAGAGACCTACCTCCCTTGTTGACCAACATCAAGCATTTATGGGATGGCCGCCCAGGGTAACAGATCTCTGGATATGCAACAGACCTGTGAGTCAAGCTAATTGACCAGGCTCAGGATGAGACCCTTGAGCTGGGCCTAATTCAGTTCCCCAAGGAACTAAGCTAAATCACTCACCTATCAGATTTTACACACAAGATTAATCTAAGAATGGCCACAATATGTTTTTTCCAATAGCAAACATCACGAAGCAAGTCAAACAAAAGCCTAACGTGTGGGAGCATGAGACAAAAACCAAGCCAAGGACTATAGAACCAACAGGAAAAAGGGAAAGGAAATTAAAACAATGTTAATACACCATTTATAATCCATCTTAGATACATAACCACTCCTAACCCACAAAAAGGTACTCAGCTACTCTAAGTCCTCATCTGCAAGCATTGCATCATATCCTTTGATTCAGAATTATAAATAATTCCGATTATTTATTTTCACAATCAGCATGCATGCAACGCATGGCAAAGGCATGGCTGGCCTGGGCAACGTGGATTTCCTCTCCCCTCCCATGGCAAAACTTTCAGCCAGAGCTGCATTTTTCCTAGGCTGTCTCCCCCTGACCTCTCTCTCCAAGGGGGACTCTCTTCACCTCCTGGCCCGCATGCCATCCGCATGCAGGATTTAACCAATTCTTGGCTCTAACAATCCATTCCACTTCAAGAACACAGAATACACACCTGTTCTTTCTTTTAACATTCCCTCCTGCAGGGAGATTGATATGAAGATCAATGAGTTGACGTTTGTCAAATACTTTAGGCTTCTCAGATGAAAGGCAGCACCTAAGGCTGGCTTACACTGGAGGTGTTGCAGTTTTGGGGCTTCAAAGAAGGAAATCAAGGCTACAAAGACACTGGTCTGTGAAGATGCCAGAGGTTTTGCACCCCTCCTAAAGGCAGGCAGATTTACTCTAGCATTCTTTTAACTGGACTTCAACATTAGAAATACAAGGATCCTTATATTAGAACTGGACCCTTGTTATATAAAATAGTATAGAAGGAAAGGGACCCTTTCTCTGCCCTCCCTTAAATGGCTTTCTCTCCCCAAGTTTCCCTACTGCCTGTACCTACTGCTCCACAAGGGCCCACATGGCAGCTGCCAGCCAACACATGTTCTTTGAGTCAAGAGGCCAAAAAAAAAAAAAAAAGTCAAAGACAAAGCTTTATGTGTATGTTGGCACGCATGTGAATTCGGGCTGCTGGGGGGAAAAAAATGACACACAAAGGGCACATTCATGGCCCCATATAACTCCTTGAACATATAAACAGTCACCCTTGACCCAACTCCTACTCTGTGCGAGGCACTGTTAAGAGGGTGACATAGAGCACGACACTGGATTCTCCACAAGTTAGTTAGGTATTTACAAATCGGTTAGATATGGTAGCTAATTCTCCTGGCAAGTTAGATACAACTGGCCCCATCTTGTAGATAAAAGGACTGAGACTTCAAAGAACTGCCAGGTCCATCCCACAGCACACTGAGAAGAAATGGCAGGCCTGGAATGCCTATATTTCAAACTCTCCGACCTGGATGCCCTGCTCCAGCCCACTGACAGCCAGGAAAGCTGCTGAACTTGCCACCCTCGGTAGGCCCTCCATGGGGCTCAGACAGGGGCAAGGGCAGTTAACTCAGCAAGGGGGAGATCACCAAGTCTTATTTTAGACATTAATTTTTAACCTCCTCTCTACCAAATCATGTTTTCCCTCATGCTTATTTAATCAGCACAAGCAGCAGTGATTTAACTGCCAATTAACTATTTCATCTTCTCTCTCTTTCCCCTGGCTTATCTCTAACAAAGCACAGAGCACCGTCCTGAAGGTGAGTTCAAAAAATACAGAGCATTATGATTAGCATGTATAATGTGGGGGGGCGGGGCACGGGGAGGGCCGTGCAACACAGAGAGGACAAGTAGTGATTCTACAGCATCTTACTATGCTGATGGACAGTGACTGTAATGGGGTTTGTGGGGGGGACTTGGTGATGAGGGGAGTCTAGTAAACATAATGTTCCTCATGTAATTGTTGATTAATGATACCAAAATAAAAATAAATATAATAATAATAATAATGCCTTGCTTGCAAGAAAAAAAAAATACAGAGCACTTGGGGACTAAGTAAAGAAGATCAAATGCAGGATAATAGGTGAAAAAGGATAAGAATATGGAACGAACCCAAGAGGGCTATCATATACAGTCAAAGGGTTTGTTTCTTGCCTGGAGGAAAAAACAAAAAGCCCTTAATAGGGAGGGAAGGAAGGCACTGGGGGAAAAAAAAAAATCTCTATAGTCTTGACCCCTGGGCCATCCATTCGGGACAAGGAAGAATGCTAAAACTTCTGATTTTTCTCTGAATTCTTTAGGTTCTTTTATACTAAAATAATCTAACTGTTCGTTCCCTTACAGCTGTCTGGGCCACACGGTACTCACAAATTTGAATAAGTATAACAAAAGTGGTAGTAACAACTGTGTGAAGCCAGTGATGTAGGCGGGGGCAGGCACCTGGGATTAACAAGAAGCACCTTTCTTCAGCCATTGCTCCCACGCAGGTTCCACAGCTACAGGAAAACTCCTGTAAGGAGATGTTCTTGAGATAGAGCAAGGTGCTCGTGGAAGGGCCCAGATAAACACCCGAACTGGAAGGAAGTCAGTGCGTTCTTCCTCTTCTGATGTACTGGCCTAACATCACCAAAAGCTGGACCTCTGGCACCTCAGCCGGGACTCAGCGGCTATAACAACACACCTCCACTTGAGCCCAGTGAAGAGGCACTCCTGAAAGGCAAACTATGTACAGAATGCTACTCCACTATCAGGAACTTCTCTAGGCAGGATTTTTGCCAAATCCTGGACCATGAGGCTGCAACAATTGGCTGGACTATGTATTCACTTTTTTAATGTTTCAGAGGAAGGAAAAGTAGTCCCTACAACTGGGCTGAAGCAATCATGGCTTTTCAAGTAGCGAGTACTATAATAAACACGGTGACACACACATGAATTCATTCTGCACTTCGCGGCCACCCATTTAGATCAGGCAAAAGAGCGTCCTGCTGTTCCGCTCCCGCTCATTAAGGCCATCATTTCTATGGCACTGGCTTGTAATCCCAACACTGAAAGATACAGTAACTTTAATACAAGAGTCTGTAATCCTACAAGATGATCATCTGTTGCAGTCAGGCAGAGCTTTCACAGGGAATCAATACCACTCTAATGAAGCCAGGCATGGGCTAATGAGTGCCAACTAAAATTTAGATGGTCGCACAACTTGATGCAGCTGGTAGGAACAGCATCAGGCAGGTGTGTCCAAACACAGAGAGTTATGCTCCTCTGCAAGCTGCTTTGTTCCCATAAGTGAGTGAACTTAATTCAGTTTAATTTCTTGCAGTTTAATTTGTTATATTTTTTAAAATACCATCTTTGCAACACCGCACCATCCCAGCCATAAATCCCCCTCGGGCGCCCACACAGCTAGGTATGACTTCTTGTACTTGTTTTTTGGATGACTCCCACTTTGCAAGGCTGTTTCCTCTCCTTGAAAGCACTCCCCTATCACTCCAGGTGAGCACCACCTCAACCCTGTAAGCTCACTGCACACCTGACCCCTTCACCTCCAAGACCAAGTCTTCCCTGACTCTCTTACTACACCACAATCTTGATCAGCCTGCGGGTTTCCTCCAGGAGGCTGCAGTTAGATCTTGTTTTAGCATCTTTGTATGCCCTGTTCCAAGCACAGAGTAGAAGCACAATCCTAGGTTTGTTGAATGAATCCGTTTCAAGAAATGAACACACTATTGGAAGAAACCCTGTAACCACATACGCAGCCTGCAGTCTAGAGATTCCTCACCTTCACAAAGAGCCTACAACAGCCAAGTTCCTGGACAGAATGAAGCCCAAACCCCACAGTCACCTTAAACTGTCAGTGGGGCTGAGGATGGGGGTGACAGGAACTAAAGGGAGTGGAAGGGAACAGAGGGTAGGGACAGCTGTACCTCGCTGCTCCCTCGAAAAGGTGGGAAAGCCACTTACGAGTCTTCAAGCCCCAGACGCCCCAATCATGCCTGGGAGAATGGGGAGAGGGTGTGTTAACAACACGCTCAGAACTTGTTAATACTGAGAACTTTCAAAGTTTGAGGTGGAGACCTGTTCAGAAATTATGGAGCCACAAGTTTTCTCTATGAGCCAGTCCGACCACCCAAGTAGGGGCCAAGATGCCCGGGAGCTTAGTGGTAAGTCTGGGGCCTACTGGGTGGGCATAAAAACCCCTCTCCCTGCCAAGATCCTGTCCCCATGGGAGGCGGAGGGGAGCGGAGAGCTGCGTCCCTCTCCCGCTGGGGCGACGGCTACGTCGTCCGGTGCTTCATCCTCCAGCCCCCACCGCCCGGGTTCTCTTCAGCTGCCCCGCCCAAGGCCCTCTTCCGATCGCAAAAGAGCAGCAGGGAATGGGGACGAGGGGGCGCGGGTCTGGGTTTAACCACGAACTCTCCAGACAGCGCTCATCTTCCACCTTAACTCCAGCCGAGCAGTGCGCCGCGCCGCGGGCAGCTCCCACCGTGACCGAAAACTCCCGCGGCGCGGCCCCCTCGCGCCCCCGCTGCCCCGCCAGCGTCCCGGGCCGCTGATCGCCGCGGGCGCTGCCAGCGTGTGCCCAAGGCGTCGGCCGGGCGCCCGGAGCGCACGGGCGGCCCCCGAGCTCGGGCCCGACTCCGCGCCGCAGCCGACGCTTACCTGCTTACATGGCCCCGCCGGCGCCCGGAGTCCCGCGCAGAAGGGCTGTCGTCCGCCGCCGCGGCGGCGCCCCGATTCCCGGAGGATTTGATTCCAGGGGCTGGCGGAGGGAGGGCGGAGGGGAAGAGCCGTAGGAGGCGAAAGGGGAGGGAGGCTTCCGCGGCGCAGGGGCCAAGGAGAACCACCTAGGCACGGGGTTGCCCCGCCGGCGAGGGGCCGGGGCGTGGAGGCCGAGCACCGGGGCTGGGGGGTGGGAGCGGGGACCGCCAGCGGCCACTCGGCGTCGGCGGCTCCCCGCGGACCTCGCCGGGAGGCCGGGCCGCTGAGCGAGAAGACGCGCAGCAACCTGCCTCCCGCCTGCTCCGGGAGGAAAAGTTGGGCAGAACTTTCAGGGGCCGGAGAGCCCGAGCGGCAGAAACCGGAGCGGCCGCGAGAGGAGGGAGGCAGGGGCCGCGCGCATGGGAGGGCACGGAGCAGGCGCCGGCGGCCGCGGCTCCCCCACCCCGGGCCGGCTCGGGGGCGCGGGCGGCCGGGAGGGGCGGGGCGCGCGCCGGGCGGGAGGAATGCGGCGGGGGCGCGCCGGGGCCGTCCGCGCGGGGGAGCGCCGCGCCGCGGGGCCCGGGCTCCCGGGCTGGAGGCGCGCCGGCCTCGGGGACGTCACGGCGCTGGAATCCGAGGAATGCCGGGCTGCAGGAGCTCCGTCTGCAGGCCCGGGAGAAGCCGCGCACTTGCATGCGCTCGCTTCGGAAAGTGTTTCAGGAGGTGAGGGCTGGGGAGGGCGGACGGGATGGAACCGCCTGGAGTGAGGGCCGAGGCAGTGGAGGCGGAGACGCGACCGCAGCCGACCCAGGCTCGCGCCGCTCCCGGTGCGGCGGAAAGCAGGAAGGAAGGATCCCAGTGAGACCTCCGAACACCGCAGGGGCCGGGCATTGGCAGCGACGTGCCCACTGAGACCCAGAGCAGGGACAGACCATTTTGTCTGGGGAAATCCTACGAGCAGGGCGCCCCTGATGCAGCTACTGCCCCGGGGAGCACAGCCCAGGAGAAACTAAGGTGGCTGCTAGTGAGCAATCTCGGAGTTCTCTCTCCAGGACACTGGCCCCTCTGCCTCCTGGACCTAGTGTCTAAACTGTACTCATCCCCAACCGCCGGAATCGCAAACGCAGTTTATATATGCATGGAGTTGGATTATGTGGTTTTCCCGGTCTTTGCCCCAGGATGGCCCCACCCTGGCGGGGTAGGCACTGGGAGGGAGCTTCCTTAGCACTTTGGAGGTGGAATTAATGAGATGCAGTTGGTAGGATGGAAAAAGCACGGAGCACAGGGCCAGGCAAGGAAACCTGGATTTTTAGAATTGCCCTGCCAATGACCGATTGGATGACTGAGGAGAATAACAGCCCCTGAACACCTTGGCTTCTGTACCTGTAAAATTATTTTTTTTATTACTTCCTATTTTTGTGTAGTCCTTTGCATTGCTAAAAACCTGTCTTGGGATCTTACCAGGACTCAAGCCCTGTCCTTTCAACATTTCCTAGTTTGAAAACCATCTTTGAAGTCATTGCCATAGGAGATGGTGTCCCAAATTACTTCAGTGTCCCACAACTCATACAAAAATTCCAGGTCTCTTGGGGGAAGGGTACTGGAAATCAAAAAGCAAAGCCTATTCTGTACCCATCATGTACAAATTCTAGTGACTCTGACTTCTCTGAGCATTTATCAATCTCCAGAACTTTAAGGAAGTAGAGAAGACCCCCAAAGGGATGGAAGGAGAGGCTGAAGGGGATTAAGATCAGCTGCCCAGCCTCTCAAGGGCATAGCTGGATAGTTTCAATGTGGACTTGCTGGATTTCCAAAGATTTGGGAGTGCCTTACTGAGCTCCCAGAAGTGTAGAAACATGTCACATATTACTTTATTACTTTGCCCAGTCCCTAGAGAAAAGGTGAGGTCTGAAAAAATTACTTATCTCACCGAGAGTCACACAATTAGTAAAATATGATAATGGACCCTAGTCTGGTCCAAAAATGCAAGCCCTTCAACTCTTCATAATTTGGGCAAAAAAAAAGATTAAGATTAAAAATAAGGAAATATCTACAGGCTCTCAAGAGAGATGAGAGGCCTCTTGGGGCCTTAGAAGAAAAAGTGGCATTTGCGTATTGTTGCTCCAAAGTCACTGTTGCTTCAAGCTCTGAGCACAGTGTGCTGAACCAGTTTTGGAGTGGACAAGCGAAGGACCTACATACAGACACACAACTGTGGTTCTGTGCTGGGCCAGCCATGAGACCCTGAACAAGCCACTTCACCTCTTGACCTGAGTTTATTTTTTTAAGTGGAGTGTGACATTGAGGTCAAAGTTTGGTGGGATTAGTTCCTCTCTGAGATCTTTCCCAGGTCTGAACTTGGATGAATGTATACTCCAGACAGACGGCATGCCTACAGAGGAAGCTTAGTGATAAAGTCAGGATGTCTACTGGACCGCACTGTTTTCACACAGCCTTCAGTTTCAGAGTGAATGTTGAGAATGTCGCTGAGTGTTCAACGGCAAAAACAAAGAGATGAGATGTAGCACTAACTCTGTGGACTCATTTTTAATTTAAATAATTTTTATGCCTAAAAAAATTTTTAGACACATTATTAATTAAGAAAAAACCATAAAATGCATCTGACCAGCCACATTTCTCTTTCTTTAGAATACAAACAGGCAATACAAGTGAGAATATTTTTTAAATAAAAGACCAACTTGAAGGGAAAAAAAGCCTTTCATTCTCTGGATAAATGTATGAAAGCTAGCCACATACTTCTTTCAAAAATAAAAACAAGAATATATTCATAAATGACATATCTGATAAGGGGTTGGCATCCAAATTATATAAAGAGCTCACACACCTCAACAAACAAAAAGCAAATAAGCCAATTAAAAAATGGGCAAAGGAGCTGAACAGACACTTCTCCAAAGAAGAAATTCAGATGGCCAACAGGCACATGAAAAGATGCTCTACATTGCTAATCATCAGAGAAATGCAAATTAAAACCACAATGACATATCACCTCACACCAGTTAGGATGGCCACCATCCAAAAGACAAACAACAAATGTTGGTGAGGTTGTGGAGAAAGGGGAACCCTCCTACACTGCTGGTGGGAATGTAAATTAGTTCAACCATTGTGGAAAGCAGTATGGAGGTTCCTCAAAAAACTAAAAATAGAAATACCATTAGACCCAGGAATTCCACTCCTAGGAATTTTCCCTAAGAATGCA